GGAGCGGCTCCCTGCCCACAGCAGGTGGGGAGCTGCTCCAGCCCCTGTGAATTAATCTTAACTGATAAGCCTCACACTTTAAGGATGAGGCTTACCAATTAACCAGTTAATTGGTTAAACATTCACATCCTTAGTATGGGGACACAGTGTGGGGAGGCTGGGGCGAGAGGGTAACTAATTCCCCAAATGGCCCCTCCTTCTGTTCTTCTCCCACTCCTCCCCTGCGGGTGAGGATGAAGATGGGCAGGCAGAGCAGGAAGCATTAATATTCCTCTCCCGCCCGCCCGAGTGCCTCCGCGTCATTAATCATCGTGTCCGCTCTTCTCCCTGCGCCAGGCAGCTGCTTCCAAGACATCAGGCAATTTCATGCAAATGACATGGGGCCCTCTCTACTTCACACCCAGATGTCTCCACCCCAAGACACATGCTCTCCTTCACCCATCACCATCCCTACCCAGCCCAAAGGCACCCACTTACAGCCTATAGGGCTTATGACTTTCAGGGGAAGGAGAATTTGACCTTCAAAGACAGGGAGAGAACCGAGGTGTCCTGGCTTGCAACTCACCCTGTCCTGCTCTATCCACTAGACCTCACTCATCCCCCAGAGCCAGGAACAGAACCAGGAGCTCTCATGCCTTCCCCCGGTCTCAGGGGGGTGGGAAATGAGACATGAAAAGCACCAGCTCTGATCCGAGGTGGGGGTGACTGTCTGGGGGGGGGTGGCAGTGGGGGTGATGGGAAGCTGCTATCCCTTCTCCCTTCCGGTGGTGATGTGAAATTAATCTGATGGGTCTCAGACTGATTCCCAATAGACTGCGTTGTTCAGGGATATCCCAGCTGGCCACCTCGCTTCCAGGGGCCAACTGGAAGCCAATGAGTCTGTAATGGAAGCAGTGGGAATATACTGTTGGGGGCAGTAGTCTCTGTATGGGACAGGAGGTTGGGGTTGTGGGGGCTACAGTGGATGAGGAGTTAATGGCCACAGGTTGGAGGAGTGTGGGAAGGTGAGCAGGAAGCTGCAGCAGGAGAAAAGGAGCAGATGTGGGGCTGCAGTGGAGGGGATTTGGGGAGGGGGGAAAGGGAGCAGTGGGAGGGGACAGAAGCTGTATGGGAGCTGAGCCCAGCCCCCCCCCGCTCCCCACCCCCACACACACACACCCTACAGAGGCCCAGGCCTGGCATATTAGGATGCTGTCTGCTCTCCTCCCGTCACCATGGAGACCAGCTCCAAGAATCCCTCAGGCATGACGGTAGCAGCCATATTGTTCCAATACTGCAGCCCCCCCAGCACCCTGACAGGAGGGGGCCCTGAGGAGGGAAAGCCATGGGGGGAAGGCTGGCAGTGTTCACTGGCACCACAGGAAGTATGAAACTGGTGCCTCACAATCCCGACCTGAAACCCCCACCCAGAGCTCTGCTCTCCTGGCTAACCTGCTCCCACATTAACTAGGATTCCCCAGCTCTATTATACAGTAGCTTCTGGTACTGGGGAGGCAGTAAATCACACCCAGCCTCCGCCTTGTCCAAGTCCAACCACGGGCTCCTTACTGCCAACTGCTCACAGC